CTCCCTCACCACCCTCGATGGTGGGGCAGCTAGGGGGTTACAAGGGTCCCCCCGGTGGAGCGGTCGGTTGCGATGCAGTTGTGTCCTAATACCGCCTCCAACCGGCAGGGAGAACCGTGCCTCCCCTCCCGGGTCTGTAGGTACTCGACTGGCCAGCGATGCCTATACGACTGGTGGAGAAGCTGCCTCCGCCTTACACGCTACGGCGTGATTGCAAGTGCACCAGGCCAAGGCACTGAGGGACTTGCACGAGGGTGGTCACGTCCCGGAAGTTCGCAGAGAAATCCGCACTGCGGCGGACTTCGCGCCACGAGCGACGAAGGTTACGGCGCGGTCTCTGGGTCTTGCGATGTCCACTATGGTGGTCCGGGAGAGCCAATTCTGGCTGTGACTGGCTGACATGCGCGAGACAGACAAGACACGATTCTTGAACGCCCCCGTGTCCCAGGCCGGCCTGTCGGCTACACGGTGGAGAACTTGCCCAGCAGTTCTCCACAGACCAAAGCAGACTGAGGCCATCAGGTACATCCTGCCGGTGTGCACCGGGCGGAGAATCTTTTTTCAACCAATGACCCCTCGGTCGGTGGTACCCAAATTCTTGACAAAGAGCAATTCCTCTATTTCTGGGTCCCCAGAGGGGATGGGGGGTTGTGGACGATCTAGTGCGTATCACACTCACTCTCCTCTCTCGCCAGTGAGCAGCAGTGGGCGGATCGGGAGGACGAACCAACGGACTACCCACGCACCCTCTGCTCGAACGCAGGTCAGTGTTACACACACCAGACCCCGCCTCGGACCGGCTACGAGACGCCCGGGCCAGGTCCCTACATTTTTCCACGCTGCCCCACTGCGGGTACACCTGTAGTTCCGTTGATGCTGTACCCAAGAAAGGCGGTGGGGTACGACCAATCTTGGATCTGCGTGTCTCAAACCGGGCCCTTCACCGGTTACCATTCAAGATGTTGATGCAATCCGTCCCCGAGATTGGTTTGCAGCGGTCGACCTGAAGGACGCGTACTTCATGTGTCGACCCTTCCGCACCACAGACCATTTCTGTGGTTCGCGTCCAAAGGACGAGCATATCAATACGAGGTCCTGCCCTCCGGGCTGTCCCTGTTGCCCTTCCATACGCACCTAAGGGATGCCATATGTGTATTGTTCCGAAACCTCCTTCGGGAAGGTTGGAGCTTCCGTAATGTCCCTGTTCCAAGTAGAACGGGTGCGTTTCCCCAGTGTGATCCAGTCTTACTCAGTGGGTAGTGCCATAGTAGCAGTAGCTGGTCCTCTTGTGCAGGCCCTGGCCTACGCCATAAAGTAGGGGGGTAGTTGGCTTCCACAGGACACTGGATGGGGCGGTAGCTGTGGCCTTTTGGTAGGATCCCAATTCGTCGGTCCTCCGATGTGACGTCGAGAGTGACCGACTGAAAGGGAACGTCTCGGTTACGTATGTAACCCTCGTTCCCTAAAGGAGGGAACGGAGACGTCACGTCCCATCGCCACAGCTCCTGTACCACCGCTGAGCGGCCGGGTCACCGGCTCGGCTCCTCAGCGAAAACCTGAATATGCGCTGCACCTGCTGCCTACTTATACTCACGCTGTGATCAGCAGCAGCTGGATGCAATAATCGCATGCCAATGTGCATTGGCTCGTTTAGTTTACACTCGAAGTAGATTGGTCCCTCTAAGCGAGATCCCAATTCGTCGGTCCTCCGACGTGACGTCTCCGTTCCCTCCTTCAGGGAACGAGGGTTACATACGTAACCGAGACGTTCAGTGTCTTGTGTTTTCCTCCCATATGTGCCCCATGACCTAGTTTCTCCCATGTCTGATTATGTTCATTAGTTCCAGGTGTGTCTT